AAAATAAATAAATATATTAAATTAAATAAATATTCTTTTTTAAAGAAAAGTGCTTAAGTTAAGAACAGTCTGTACCCTTTCTTTCCAATTTCTGCCAGGTAATACTAATCGCCTTAGAATTCCTGAAGAAAGCCCTTTCTAATCTAATCCTCTTTCTATGTGGCCATAGCAAAAATTATATAATTCCATCTTCATTTCTGAAAATATGACATGTCATTGCTGGTTAACATAACTTGATGTTTAGCAATGTGAAATAAACATGGTGTTTCTCAACTGCATAGTTCAAAACATTATTAATTCCAAATGACTATGGAACCAAAGACATTTTGTTTAGTCCTAAAGAACAACTTTAAAATCAAATTATTCTCAGGGCTGGCAAGTGATATGGTGGTTAGAGTCGCTAGATTCCCATATGGCCAATCATGGTTCAAGTCCTGAACCTGGTGGCTTGCTTTCACACTTTCCCTCTCTCTGTCTCTGTCTTTCTGGCGAGGGTACACGCCCTATAGCAAAAACCTCTCCAGAAAAAAAAATTATTTAAAAAAAGATCCAATTATTCTTTAGAGCAGTGAGTCCTTTTAGTTAAAAAAAAAAAAAATTCAGGTGGCTGCTGCACAAAGCTATAATGAGTCACTAACTGTGAACCATGGATTTAGTTTTTATCTTTTATCACCACCTTGTATATATAATTTCTGACTTCTGAAAATATACACTAAAGGACAAGTCCATAAGAATAGGCAAGCTTACAGAAATGGAGATCAGACTGCTATCTCTGCCACTCACCATCTGTGTAACCTTAGGGACAAATCAGTGTCTTCAGCTCAAAGTAAAGTAGTGGGACCAGTAGATGGCGTAATGGTTACGACGCTAGGCTCCCACACAGTCAAGGGTGATTTGAGTCCCACACCTGGTGGCTTAAAACACACCGGGTGCATGTGTGTGCATGCCCAAAATCCTGAGAGGAGAATGAAGAAGGGATTATGCCGTGGTCATCCCCCTTGGGGGGTGATTTCTTGCTTTCTGTCTATCTGTTGCCAGAGAATACAAGCACCCTATAGCAAAAATCTCTTAAAAAAAAAAAGGGAGGGGTGGAGTAAAACAGCACCCCACCATGAGAATGTGTTGATTAAGAAATAACCCACACAGAAGGCCAAGGACAGTGACTGAGATAATTAGTGGTCTCCAGTTCTTAGCTATTATTATTACCAACCATCTCACAGGGCTTTTTTTGCTGGATCAGATGAGATGTGAGAGCACAGCATCATACAAATAAATTACAGAAGCAGGACCAATTGCTGCCAGAAACAGTTACCCTCTCCCCACACTCCCAAAAAACGAATGATCTCAGCGATGGGAGAAACCTCCTTTTAGTAACATTCAGGCTATAAGCACGAGGTCCACTTTCACTAAAACCACTGACCTTGAAGCTTCTTTATCATTAACTGATAGACCAAGATCATCTAAGAAGAAAAGAAATGCAAACGGGACCATTGTCTAGTTACAGAACATCTCGGGCTTTTAAAAAGGTTTCTCCCAAACTCAAATCTTGTGATTTTTCACAACCGAAGTAGCAGGATGACATCAAGGTCTTACAGCCTGCCGGCTGGGCTGAGTGCCATGGAGGGAGTTCCACTTAGCACGCGGAAGGAAAGCTGCAGAGAAAACCAGAGTCGCTGCGGAAAGGAACAGGCCTCCAGCAGCCCTGCGTGCCCCTCTGACATGAACTATCACAGCCTCTTCACTGCTGCTATTTTGGGTTCAAGACCCCCTCCCCCCGCCTCCCACAAGTACCCTGAGCAGCTGTTTCACCACCAAACAGTTCTGGATTGGGGGCTTGGAATCCCAGGCCTGCTCCTACTAGATCTGGGTGACCTTGCGTCCGCCCCTTCCCATCTCTGGACCTCGGCTTCTCCAGGAACACCAAAAACCCATCTGGTCGAACGACTCCCTGAGGCCAATTCCCGGTACATAAAATGTCTTCAGAGAGGACTTTCCTTCAGGGAGGGTGTCCCACCCTCAAGCCTGAGCCTGGTCCCGGCCGCAGGGAAATCTCGAATCTCCCTTGGAGCGGCACTAACAGCGCAGCCGGCGTCCCCCAGAGCCTGCCTGTCGGGCTGGCCCTGCCTACCAGAGCCTGCCCAGACCGCGCCCTACCAGAGCCGGCCCAGACCGCGCCGCTACCACCTCCTGGCCCAGAAGGCCGGGTCGGCGCCTACGCGAGGCCCGCGGCTGCGGCCTAGTGGCCCGCGAGGCCCGCCCTCCGCGCCTCCC